TGCTTCCATGTGATTTATAAATGTAACATGCCCACTGGAATGGGGGGGGGGGGAAGACAGCACGAATTAAAACTTAAAAAATAAATTATAAACTCTTGGAAGAATGAATAGACCCATCCTTCAATATTTGCACAAAAACACTAAAGTGCAGTTCTTTCTTATTTTAAAACTCACTATTTTTCAACAAGTCTCATGATCTTGGGGGTTGAGTAGAAATCATGGAATGCTGCATATATAGACTCTGTTCTTCGAACTTTAGTGGGATAATTTAAAAAAGGACAAACTGGGATAGGGCAAAAAACAGACTTAATGATCTTAAAGGTCTTTTTCAACCTAAATTTTTCTATTATTCTAATTAGAAAAATCATAGGAGATCTGTAAATTGTGCCTGATGATGAAATGATGAGGAATTCTGACCTGTTTGCTTCATCAGAGACTGATTTAAGGGATGAGTCCATCCTCATCCAGAGGAACTGATGTGATGCTGAGGCTTCTGATGGCACATTTTTAATCTGTCAGCAAAAGGTGTGAGACTGAACAGTCAAATTAGGACTAGAACCCAGGGGCAGAGTTTCAGCCCTCAGGAACCACCATGAGCCAGCTCACGTTGGGATGAAGAGATACTTCATCACACGTGGCCTTTGTTATCATTCCAAAGCACATCCTAGTCCATAAGCAGAAGTTATGGATTCCATGTTTGCTCCTCACTGCTGTCAGCCCAGTGTTTGATGATCTGTCCGGATTCACATCTCAGTTCCCTATTATTCACCCCAAATGAATTTTCAGGATTAAATAAATAAATAAATAAATAAAAGGTCCCAGGCAGCTCAAACCTCCATCCATAAAAAGTTTAGTTAAGATCAACTATACTTTTAATAGGCATGAATCATTTTGAAAGGTTTTATTTCTGCTGGTCTCCCTAATTTCCATTTTCTTGCTATCTGTCCCCAAAAAAAAGTTGAGGTTAAACACAGACCTGCTGGGTTTCAAAATGACAAAATAAATTCCCCTGGCAATTTCCAAATTCTACTGTTGTAAGGAGGTGATTTGTTAACTCTGATCCTCTCCTGGTAGGAATTTTATTCTCCTCAGAATTCTTCCTGAGAACACGAAGGAGTTACAACAAAAGTCCTGCAGGTCTCAGCCATGAACCTTTTCTGGTCTTAAATATTTCATAATATTCATAACCCAATTAATAGACTCTTAAAATTGAGCTCCTTTCAACCGTGCTTGCCCAAGCTCTGCTCCCTCTGCATTTCTAGACACATCCAGCTCTGGGTTGTCTAATCCAGGACATCCTGCCCAGTTTTCCATGCCAGTATCTCCACTGAGTTCTCCAGTGAAGTGTCCAGCTCCTGAGTGACAGATGCCCTCACCTGACAGAGCTCAGAGCTGAAAAGGGGGAACAAAAGGCTCAGAAAGCGCCTCGGGGAGGGAGGTCAGGTGGAGGTTAATCGAAGGAAATGACAGTTTGATGGTATGCACGGCCCTGGAGATTACACATGTTATTTTGTTGGGAAATATTTAACTGGTTTATCTCTATTTAGGAAGAAAAATAAAGTGGATATATGAAAAAAATGCGGGAGAAGTCAGAGATGCCTCTTAGGCCAGGCAGCCTGGCACGGGCGGGATGCAAAGAAAGCCAAAGGATGCCAATTCTTCAGGTGGCTTCAACACAGTATAAACATTTATAAAACACTTATAAAATGTTATAAAACATTTCACTATCATAAAACACAGCACAGTAGCTGGGGAGGTCAGGAAACTCAATAAACCTCTCATTTCCCTTGCTCCCATATTTACCCCCAGTATTTACTGGTTATCTCCTAAAGTGGCTGCTGGAGCTAAGAAGGGAAAATTCCAGCTGGAAAACGCTGTAGAAGTCTCGGAAACTCGTTTGTGTCTTGTAATGAACTTGGCTTGGCCACATTCCTGCCTCGTTTGCATTTCCTTCCCAACCATTTTCGTGCACTCAGGATTTTACTTTCAAGAGGCCTTTCAAAAACTGATTTTAAGCCTGGCTTGCGTGTGGCAAGGGCTTTTTAAACACACTCTCCTCAAATATTTAATCATGAAATTTATTCTGGTATTTGTCCTCAATTAATTGGGGAATTAAACCAATACCACATGACTGATCAATCACAAATACATAACACACCCTGAATTCTGATTCCTACTTTCGATTAAAAAAAAAAAACAACCCAACCAGTCAACAGAAAAATTCTGACAACTATTTTTTTTTTTTTCATTCTTCCTACGGAATAAAAGGCGAAAATTCGCGGAATGAATTATTAATTACGAGTTATTCATCCAGCACTACTAAAAACTAATCTGTTTCTCTTTTTTTTTTAAGCATCAAAAAGGTCTTTCAAATAGAGGTGGCAATAATGAAATATGGCAGCAGATCTTGAGACGTGCCCTTCCCCAGGCTGCGGATACGGAAAAGGTTACGGTCCCACAGTTATTAATCCCCCATCACACTGACAATTGATTTTGAACACAGCCTGTTGGAGTCTTTATAATGCAAGATCATAAATGTTCAAAACTAATTTATTGCTCTTTGTTCCACCTGGCAAAAATCCACCGTCAGGTTGAGTTGTGTTGATGCAAAGAGGCAGATGAGGATTTAAGTCGTGGTTTTATCCCTGTTTGTGAATTTGTTTGCAATACTTGTGGGGGGTTGGAAACATCCACAGAGGGTTTAGAAACATCCAGAGAGGGTTTAGAAACATCCAGAGAGGGTTTAGAAACATTCATAAAGGAGTTAGAAATGTCCACAAAGGAGCAAAAAAAAAAGAGGAAGAGGTTATGCTGTCATTAATCAATAGGAAATATTTGCACAAACAGCCATATATTTTAAATTTGACGGGGAAAAGTCCTTATTTGTATTTATTGGTACTGATATTTTTGGTTTGCACCCTGTTCCCTGGTATCTCTCTGATTTTCGTAAGGAAAAATGTAAAACCTTGCTTTATCCACATATTGACTTATATACCAGGCAAGGGTTCCCCACACACCAACGAGGGATATGCAAAACCTTCCACCCTACAAGGCTTTTTCTTTTTTTTTTTTTTAATTAGCCATTTCAAAGCCTGAATCAATTCCATCCATCCTGAAAATTCCTCAGCTTTTCCTTCATTGCCCCCACTCTGCCCATGCCAGGGAGGTGCCAACCCCCAAAGAGGGACAAATCAGAAAAGGAGAGAAGGGCAAAAAGGGAGAGAAGGATCACCTTTGCACTGACATAACACACTTATTTGTAAAGATTAAGGGGTTTTAAGCATCAAATAGAATACGTTACAAGGAAGCTTATTTTAAGGATAAAATCCTGTCCCATAGACCAAGCATTGGGTAAGGCTTTGGGTTTCCAAAGCCCTGCTGAAGGAGGGAACTGAGACACAAAAAACAGAGCAAAAAAACAGCAGAGCATTTCCACATCAAAAATATGCCAATCCCAAAGTCTGCTTCCCAGGCTCCAAAGGATTTTTTTCTCAGTAGAAAGACAAACTTGTAAAATCACCATTCTTTTCAAAACAACCACATAATACTTCTTTAACAGCACTTTTCACCCTTACATATTTTACAGTCCCAGAATATAAACTTTGTCCTTCCATTATCTAGAGGCAGAATCATTTAATTGTCCTGGCAAGTTTATTCCTGTTGAATTCTTATTTTTACCCACGAGGATGAACTAGGAGAGCTGTGTGACTGAATGCTAGAACTGCTGCATTCATGACTTGTAGGCATCTGTACGATATTGAAATTAATTTCTAGTATAAAACAGTTAACAGAATAACCCCAGATAAAGGCAAGAATAATATTAATTTCATCCTTTTTGTTGGCAACGTTGTAAAGTCCGTTGCTCAAGTAAAGAGCGCTTTGCTGAGCCGGATACAAATTAATTTTACCATTCTTCTTCAAATAGGAATTTTAAAAGTCAACTAAAGGCTACAACAGCTTTGAAACATTTCAGTGATTGTTTTAATTACCTCTCATACAGCTGTGAGACACTGCAAAGGGAGGGGTGGAGAGGGAAGGGAGAACAACACCTGGCGTGTTACCAATTGTTTTTGTCACATAAAGAAGAAAAAACAGTTCCAAGCCCTCAGACCAACAAAAAGCTCAGCAAAGTCAACACAGATTGGGGATTTTTGTCAGTATATTAATGTTGTGATTTGATCCTGGACTACGTGTTCTTATTCTGTCAATAACTACTCTCCCTGTTAAATAAAACCACCAAATCTCCAAACATTAAATAGATGAATTCTGACAGCTTTAGAGCTTGTTTATCAACCCCAAGTTGATGCACACACTGCAGTAAGTTGCTAAAGGCACACGTGGGGCTTCTTTGTAGGGTCTGTTCTATAGCAAAAAAAACACAAAACTCGCTTCACTTTTACCACAACTACTCAAAAAAATCCTATTTTTGCCATTTCAACCCTTAATAGAATTGGAAACTGGAGGGTACTGGGGCTTGTGCTGGCCTTTGACAGCCTGGCTTCCAGCACCTGAGGGATCAGTGGTTCTGGGGTGCAGAAAACCCCCTGAAAGGTGCAGTTGTGTCCCCCCCCTGCATCTGCTGGCCACGCTGGTGGGAAGGGCCGACCCCTCACTGCACCACAAACCACCAGAATCAACAACAACAGCAGCAGAAATGAGAAAGGAAACGGGGTGTCAGGAGTCAGGGCAGCACATTTGATTTGCACATGTGTCAGTAAAGATAGAAGGAGTCGCTGAATTAAATTAAATCAAAGCAAACCTGCTAATTAAAACAGCTAAAATTATGTTTGTGAAGATGTGTGACTGGTTTCCTGCTTATCTGCAAATAAGCCTCCCCATAATATAAACATGTTTCTATCTCCACTTCATTTATAATAAGTCTTTAGGCAGATTGTAATTAGTATTTTGAGTTTCTAATGGATCCATTGTGTTACTGGAGCAATATTTTTCCTGACCATCAAAATACTGATTATTTCTGCTTCAGTCTCAAGGGTTCTCACCTGTTCTTCTCATGCTGGTCAAAGTCTTGTATCCAATTTATCTGAATCAAATTGTTTGGGTATGTGTCTGAATACCATCATCTTCACAACATTGCTTGTAGTTAATCACATTGTATTCAACTCCACCTACGAGCCAAACCAGAAATTATTACTAGTTTTGCTTGGATTTATCCTGTAGCTTGATTTTCATTCAAAATTTAAAGAAGGACCATGACAGGGAACTAAAAAAAACCAAAAAAACCGGATTCAAACAGAAGTTTTGCGTGAAAAAATTATATTATTTACAAAAATCAACTTCTTGTTTCTGTTTCACCTATTCCCAAGTTCACAATGCATGATTTTACACAAACCCAATTACATAGCTCAGTGATTTACTGGCAAAGCTGGCCAGGAGAAAATTATCTGGCTTTAGCTAATGTGTGTGCCTATTTACAGTCAAAACAAATCCACAGAAAACTGCAAAATGGCCACAAAGAAGAAAAAAAATAATAGTCAAGGCAGAAATGCACCAGAGGTTTGCAAGCTGAAAAAAGTTCACCTTATTTTACAGTTTCACTGGGTAAGCAACAAAGTGTGGCTGCGAAATCCAGCCTTTCAGATCATGCACTATTTATTTATTCCAGGGTTTAACTTTCAGCACATCTGGAGTTTCATTGGCTTGGAAAACGTGGTGTTTTCTTTTTCGCCCTTTCCATCATTTTTTTAAGGATTAGTTTGCACAGTTAATGGGTGCATGGACTGGCTTCAACAGGATTACTCAGCTGTTTGGTTACCCGTGGTTTGAGCAGGTTTTTTACTTACAGGGCTACAAAGGCATCAGCCCACAGTTACAAACGGGGCGTGATCAGATATTGGTATCTTGGAGATGAAAATAACACTGCAATAACACAGCATACTATTTATGCTGACAAATCCTACTTTCTTTGTTGTTATTGAAACATTTCTGACCCAACACAGAAACCCTTGGGGGGTGGGGGGAAGCATAGGATTTTTTAATTTGTATCGAGTGAAAAAGTCAAAAGTGAAAAGTCAAAAACATGAATCAAACCCTTAGGATATTTAATTGCATCACAAATAATTTCAGATTATTGTATATCTTTTCCCTGGAATGACCACTTGGCACAACTCGGGGATTTTGCTAGATGTGGCCCAGAGTTCCTTTACTCACCTCCAAGCAACATATTCCTAAAAATACAGCAAATTGCAAATATGCTAAACCCCAAATTTTGCTGGAATTGCATGTGCCAGCACTAAGTCCTGCATCAATAAGAAACCCCACTGATGTCAGCAGGACTTGTGACAACACAAGATTTCCCTCCCTCAGTACAGCTCTAAAACTGGATCCTTGGTGACTATATTTGAATTATGTGGATTATATATGATTAAACAGATTTGGATTAAATCCCAGCACTGGGCTGTCTCGTGGAGAACACACTGTCAGGACCACACTTGATGCACAGTGATCAAGGTGACCTTCCAGACTTTTGCAACCCAGAGCAAACTCTGAGCAACTCCAGTGAAGGGGGATTCTTTTTAGCTCCACAAAGATCAGGCTGCCAGATGCCTGGAGTTAAAATGCTGCTTTCCTGAGGAACAGTTTTTGTGTCTTAAAACCATGACTCAGGTGACAAAGAGCAATCTTTCTTGCATGAGAAAGCCAATCTCAGCTCAACACCTTGAGCTGAGATCAGGATGGAAAATATGGCTGGTTGAGCCTTGTCTTAAAGTGCAAAGAAAATTCAAGTGAAGGAAAACAACACCTAAATAAAGAAATCCATCGAGTCGCCACCAAATCCCAGTTCACCCTCCATTGCATCACTGCAATATCTGACCTGATTTTTTAAAAATATCACCATGAAACCTTACTTTTTATTACTATTTTTAGTCTTCATTTCACTCAAAAATACAGTTTATAATCTCTTACATAAATGTGCTTTTGACTTAACCATAAATGACAGAAACTAATTTCTTCCTCACTGGACGGTACAGCTGAGAATAGAATTTGGTGAAACAACTCTACAATAACTTCCAGCTCAGCAAAGCTGAAGTTTAACTCCAAATGCTTCACACAACTCCAGGATTCTGGAATTCTTTGATTCTTCAACAGCCTGGGAGGATCTGCCTCGTGGATGGTGATGTAAGTCCTCATATTTAATAAGGGTCACATTTAGCAAAAATGGCCACAGAGGTCGTGCTGAGAGAGGAAGGAAAAAGACCTAAAGGATATAAAAGGGGAAAAAAAAGCGCCCCAGGTTGCCAGAGTCTGAGGGTTTGGCAGAGGAACAGAGATAACCTAATCAGCAGCACAGCTTTCCTGCAGCGAGGCTCTCCCAGTGCCACGCAGAGCCCCCGTCCCTCTCCTTTGGATTAAGCAGCCCAGAATTTCCTGGATCCATAGATAACATTGAAGAGGGAAAAAAAAAGGAGAAAAAGGGAAACTAATGGGAATACTTTTCTGGAGTTTACTTCAAGTTCTGCTCAAAAAGGTTTTTAGCCCGAGATACCAAATAAAAATTTCCAAAGGCTTGCTGAGGGTGGGAAGCTGTTACATAATCCATTAACACAGCTAATGGCTTGTGCTGCATTCTCTCTCACATGGACAGTGCAGCAAACTTTGTGCTCTGGACCTCTGGGTTCACACCTGCCTTGAAGGACTTGGCCTGTGCAGCCAAGCTGTGGTGAAGCCACAGGTCTGGAAACTTCCTCCCCTTTAACATCCCTCCTCTAAAGGAGCCCCCACCCCGTCCTCTCCTCCACCAAGGACATTTTTAGTAAGATTGCTGTGCAGCTAATTACATTACCATGGCATCCAAGTACCACACAGTCACGAGACCTACTTCTTTTAACAGCCCTTGGGTTTGTGGAGAGGAGCTAATAGGGAAACATCCTTATATTTGGAGAGCTGAGGCACAAGGTCAATGCATTTGCCCAACATCCCTGCAGAGGAGGCTCTGGGCAGGAAATTATTCACTGTGGAGTAGCTGCCAGAGTGGACTGGGTGCCAAAGCAGCTGCATGGCCACCAATTTAACCAACCACCATGCCCTAAGAGCTGCTCTCAGGAGACAGTGCTGGGATTCCAAGAGGAAACCTTGAGCAAATAGAGCCAAATACCTGCACTCTGCAGCCTCTAGCTACACCACCAGCCCTCACAGCAGCACCAGATCCAGCTGGTGGCCCCAGAGTCCTTCTTGTGGACCCTGCTGGTTCTTCTGCAAAGGCAATGAGGTGCTGGGGCAGCCTGTCCCCAGGCAGAGCTCACCCTGCAGATGGTAGAGGTGCAGGTGCCCACACTGAGCACCACAGACCACAGGTCTGTTGGCTCCGCACAGTCTCTGTGGCAAATGCCAAGGAACCTGGATTTTTATCAGGGCCACCTTCCCCAGCCCCCTTGTCCAGTCCTGGGGCTGTGTTGCCCTGTGTGTTATTCCGGTGGTGTTCCCTGACTCGGAGTTTCCTACAGACGATGGTCTGAAATGAGACACTCCCGTGTGTCCTGACTCCTGTGACCTTGTCTGGAACTTGACTTATCTGAGACAGCTCCTCTGATCCCTTTCAGCTCCTCAAGAGCAGAGCACTGACTCGAGGAGCTGTTTTCCCCACGCTATTCCTCCACAAAGAACCAAAGTGCTCTTTATTTCTAATTTCTCTCACCAATTTCCCTCATCCAGTTCCATCTGCTTCCTCTAACAGACTCTTTAGTTACACCTGTGATACTGGAAGAGTTTGGTCATAGCTAACTGCAGCCTGTTGTTTACTTGCCTATTACTGCTATTAGATCAGTTTAAACCTGTGTGTTACTTTTGGTGTCCTCACCTCTCACTGCTCTGCTGTTAAAATGTTTCTTCCTATATACTTGCACTGCATTTTTACCAGATGTTTTTTAAATATATACAAAAAGCAACAACAACAAAACTTGGAGTGGGGGGACTAAGCCCCACTCCTGTCCAGTCCCACCTCCAATCACTCCACCAGCACAAGCTTTCTGATGGAAACAGGCTCAACCACAGCAGTTTGACAGGCTCCTAATTTATTCAATTAACAATAAACTCACAGTGCTGAGTCCTGAACCTGTCAGCCAGCTGAACTGAGACAACCAGCTGAATACTAAGATATATTCTGCCACTGAACTACCTCAGACCTGAGGGCTTCTAAAATGGAGAGTGGACCCCGAATAGCAGGAGGGAAGGACTTTGGCCAAAGGTGTAACCCACTGGAGAGGTTACAAGGGTCACCAAACTTGTTCAAACCTTTGCCAAAAAACCATGGACATCATGTTGTCAGGCTGCTCTACATTACTCAACATGCAATTCTTGCTGTGGCAGACAGATTAATTAATAGAGATAACAGAAACAGTGGTATATAATCATAAAAGAGAGCTGAAACCACAAAGGACTAAAGCTTCCCTGTGGCACAGCAGTGATTTTTTTTAAGTGTCCAGTCCCTTTTCAACAGTATTTTTAGAGGAATAGCAGTCAGCCAGATACAGCCACGGATAATCAGTGGTGGATAAAGAAAACCCTTCTCCTGACAATCAGCATCTACACTTTAAGCTGCAGAAGAAACAGCTGCCTCGCTGTTCATTAGAGAAGGGATTTGCCAAACACCCTCCCTGATGCTCTGTTATGCAAGGTAGTGCTACGTGTGTTCTCTCCTTCCACAGAGATGTAGCCTAAAAGCATCAGTATTTAGTCCTCCCATCCCCCTAAATCTTCCCCACAAAGGACACTGTCACCACCAAAGCTCTGCAACAAGGATCGTTTATATATCTGACAACCTTTAAACCCCCAAAGAAAGGGAAAGGGAAGCAGCAAAGCTCTCTGAAGAGCTCTTTGGTGGAACAAGCAGAATTATGAGCAGCAGGAGAAATATGAGTAATTAAGACAACAGTATATCTATATCTTACAGCTGACAGAGTGAAGCTGCAAGTTAGCTCTGGGCAAGATGTTAGCAGAGGAAAGAACTGAGCAGCCTGTTTCTAACGTTAGTGTTGAAAAGCCAGCCCAGGAAAAGGGCTAAAGGGACAATTTCATTAAAAAGAAGGAAGTAGGTTGGATTAAGAGAGCGGTTAGATGCGGACTTGAAACATAAAAGGAGCAGGTCAACAGCCTCCTGTAACAAGACAAG